AGTGTTTTTTATGTAAGTGAATGCAAGCCTTCCCTTCCATTGCTTTATGCTAAAACAACTGGTTGCAAAATGTTTTTTTCTGACTTAGCTAACTCTGGGGAATCTAACAACACACACAAGTTTAGGGACAGAAGATCCCAGTAAGAATATTAAAATAATAAAAATGCAGCAATAAATAAAACGTAATACTTGTGCTTTGTAACAAAGTAACACACTGAGGAAGTTAACTTGGTGAACTTATTCACCCTGGACAGGAAATAATTGCATATAAGAAACATAAATAAGAATAAATTTTTTAAAAAGTTCCAAAATAATTTGTGTTCAAAGTTCAAAGGAGTGGAGCCACACAACATGAGTTCATAAACCTGGCGCCATCTGCTGGATAGGTAGGGCAATATCGGCCGTCTTTTTGGCCGATAGCCGATACTGTTAATGACCCCAATATCGGCCGATAATATCGGCCGGCCGATATATCGGTCGGGTCCTAATTTGCTTCTAAACTGTTTTCCTTTCCAGCCCAAGAGAAGAATGAAGACATAGGACTCTTTCCTTTTAATAAATCAAAGAACTCTATTTTTAATGAAGTTAATCAAACAAAGTGTTAGTCAATAATAAGATATTGACCAATCTGTGAAATGACAATGTTATGATTAGTGTTTTAATGGGTAATATGACGTTAATCTAGCTGCACTAGACACGCTGACTACACGTAACGTAAACGCATGACACATTGCTTTGACTCATCCAATCAGAACCTTCCTTTCTGAAGTGTGGCATAGTCTCTGTGGTGTTTATAAATCTGCCAACTTTGGTTCGACCATGAATCAAAACATACAGATTAATAAATCCAGTCCCCACGCCATCTTAGTTCAGTTCTCTGAGTTCTCTACAGTTCACTGCATTCTAAGAGAAGTATCGGACCGGCCACCCGGACTTCTTTTTAAGCAAAGAACCAACAAGCTGGATAAAATTTGTTGCATTTTACCAACCAAGCAACGGTTCCTTTCAGAATAAAAGCTGAACTCACTGACCCTCTGGGTCCATCTGACGGTCAACTAACTGTCGCTTTTTACCTGGAGACAATTCAAAGACTAGTCTGTCGTACTGCTGACGCTGTTTCATCGGCTCCGGTACCGAAAGGGGGGTCGAGGACCTGGCATTCAGGATCTGAACGGAGGTCTCATCCTGAAGGGTATGTGTGGAACGACAAAATGGCGTCTTATGTGTTTATGAAACTACGATCATAGCTTAAGAGCAAAACATCACAACTTCATTCAGACTTGCTTCTCCGGATACGAGAGTTCTGATGACAAACATCACTCACACGTACACCACTCATCTCACGTCTCATTCACACCAAGATCCATCCATTCACTTAGAATTTAGAGGTAGTCTTGTTTAAAATTGTTTAGAAAAAAATCTTCTTAAACATTTTAAAGGTGACTCTCTCTTCTGTTGTCTCTCAGTTAATACGAAGTGTTGCATAATCCCTGCAATAAAAAGTTCCAATCTTCTGGTTAAAAGTACCCAAAGATCCGTAAGATTGATTTCATATTTACTATGGAATCTTATGTCCTATGGTTCATTAAATAGATGTAAATTAACCCCTTACATGTATTAAATAAACACAACAGGCAAAACAGAAATGTCAGTTAATTGTAGCGGTGAGAATTGACTACATATTTGCTAAGTGATCAATAAGATGTGATAATCCAATATAAATATGAATTATCAATCTTACTGGTCTTTGAATGTTTGATCAGAAGACGGTTTGGACACGTCCGTGAGATGACCTCTGACCTTACAGTGGACAAATAACCAAATTGTTGGCTTTTGGTACGCTACATGATGTTTCAGAGCATTTATTAAGCAAATATTTTTCAGGGATGTAAATTTAGATGTAAATAAAAATAAATACAACTTTAGAATAGAAAGACAAATTCTACTGAACAACATAATGATTAAATAATCAATAATGTTGAAAACACAAAAGCAACACACTAAAATACACCAGAAACATCTTAAGTTGATTCAGTCTTTTTAATATCTTCATGTAAAATAGAAATGAAACCCTTTAGTGCTCTTGACTTAGCAGCAGCTTCTTTCTAAGCCCGGAGATGGGGAACCCTCAGGTGTTTTTCTTTTTTAGCTCACCTGCTGATATCACACCTTGCGTTATTTCATGTTGGCTCCATGAAATGATGCCTTGTTGGATGTGACGTTTGTTGAGCTATCAGACAGAAACTAAACAGGAGAAACAGTTGTTAGTATTTGTGTAGAGCATCCATCTTCAGTTCAGTCTATAGCAGAAAGAGCAGAAGAGAACTCAGCAACGTAGAAAGAACTCAGCTGATTAGTCTATTACAAATATTGGAGAAACGTTTAAACAATCATACTATTAATAAAAGTGCAACCAAACTATTCACTAGTGTTACGGACTGACGAACTGTACAAATAAAAAATACAGTGTTTAGTCAGAACGCGTCTCAGCTGTTTCTGATCACAGATTAGGAGGAGGAGAAGCTGCAGCTGGAGTCTCCTCTCTTCTCTGAAGTCAGAGTGAAATTCTCCCACTCCCATACAGAAAAACAATTTCACTTACACTGAACAAAAATATAACGTAGTCAGATTTGAGAACAATATTTGAGTCATGTGTCTTGTGTATGTAGACAAATTTTCAGATGTTTGAGTTCAGCTCATGAAAAATGGGAGCAAAAACAAAAGTGTTGTGTTTATATTTTTGTTCTGTGTATAAAACTGGAGAAAATATGGTTAGCATACAAGTAGCCAATAGTTAAGGCAACAACCTAGAAACATTAGCATCAATCTGCCGGATACCTGCGGCTCATACGGCTCGTTATGAGGATTATTTGATATTTTACTTTTAATTCACACTAAATTAACAGCTTTAAGGGTTTGAAACACCAAAAGAGAAGCCTTACCTTTTACTGAGAGGAAAATACTCCCAATGTTTTGGATTGGGGTCCTTACCCCAAGCAGCAGGCTGACCGCGGAGGTGCCTGACCTTAAATCGATGGTGAGAAAACGCTAAATATCGGCCCAATTCATTAGCTAACCTATAAATCAGTTGACCCCTAATATCTAGTCTGGCCACAATGCCACCATTGACAGAGCTCAGTCACGAGGCAAAATTTCCGATTGTCTTCCAAACTGCCTCCATATGCAACTGGATGATGAACGTTGTCAGTAAATTGGACAGTTGGCCTTACACCATCGAAGAAGACGCAAATACATCCTTTTTCTCAATAATGGACTCAAGTGCCTTTATCTGCTCGTGACTCAAAGTCCAAGTCTAAATAGTCCAAATTTGATGCCAAAGCCTTTTCAGATTAACCGCTCCCATCTTTGTTGTTTCATTCTGTCGCAGCTCTGTTGCTAATCCCTCCCACCAAACGGATGGTGTTGTGTTTGACGAGACACAAAAAGGCTCTGGACTGCTGAGGCTACATGGAGAGTGGCTAGACGGACCTGCAGAGCAAAATCCTTTTGCTTTTGCTTCGGTCTGTCTAGATTTCTAGGCTACTAACATTCAGCACTCCACCCTTGTCCTAATTTGTTGACCTCTGCTCACCATCCAAGATGCCAGTGGGGACGTATTAGTTACCTGACTGACAAATATCGACAGGCCTACCGGCATTTGTCACAGCTCATTCAAAAATCCTGATTTTATGAAACACAATGTTGACTAGTAGGGTCAGTAGTAAACATCTGGATTAAGGGCCATTCCATACATTGCTCCACCATTTTCCAGGGAACACCACACGGCAAACATACGTTTCTCTTTATCTAGCTTTACTTAAAACAGCTTAGAGAAAACAGTAAATGCTTCATGAACACTGATTTGGGACAGACATACAAATCCAGCTTCACAACATCGAGGTATTTTTTCATTCCTTCTGCAATAAAGACAATATACTAAAGATTTGAAGTCAGCACTCTTTTGAGGGAAACATGTTTCGTCTTTATTTGTTTACTCTCAATCTGTCACACTATACGAGGGAGGCTACTTTTACAGTTGTCCGTTTGAGGCCTACAAAGCTGGTCGTCGCCTGTTTTCATTGTTTTATTTGAGGCTTTCGGGATTGTTCTGGGACGTTAACTGACCACGAGCTGCCACTACAGCCAAACTGCAATGCCTGCTGTAGGGAGGACTTGTGCAAAAATATTTGTGCTTGTTTTAATGCGCCTGGAAAATTAAGATGGGTTGGGTTTTCTGCGTTTATCGAACCTTGCACTCTTCTCTGAAGCTATCATAACTTTCCAGCATTTGTTACATTTTCCTACAAGGCACCGCCCAAAAGCAAACACAAGTGGTTGGTGGGTCTAATCTGCATTCAGTTAGAAAAACCTATAAAGGGATAAAAGACAATTGCAAAACATGGAAACTAACACCATCAGATATGGAGCTGCACTCTGCGTGAAGGAATTTTAAGCTTTTCTTGTTTATATTCAAATAAAATCCGCAAGCAAAACATCAAATGTGCTAAAACATTTAAACTCATTGACGCCTCCCTGTTTATGTGTCTGATACACAAAGGAAAAGTAAAACCCATCCAATTGGACGAGGTTCTAAGAACTGAATGTCTTTGATCAACAGTGCAACAGTTCATTTCCTTTGTCTAATAAGCAATACTAGAAATTAACAAGAACAAATGAAGACAGTAAATTATTAAACAATGTTTTGTTTTTGCTGATTCAAGCTCGCTTCAAGCCAACACAGAAAGCTGCTCTGGTTGCTTTTTAAGCGAAGCTTTTGTGCAGTATTTTTGTTTATTTTAAATGCAATCTTGATTTAAACAGAAAATTAAATGTACTGATGGTACTAATGTTACTGTAACAGCCAAAGCTTCATGTTAGTTAAGATCTATGATGTTTGTTTTTTTTCCAAAGCTTGGGTTGTGGAGAAAGGGGAACACCAAGACAAGTATGACAGTCTAGTATTCCGACACATGTTGAAACACACTAAATAAAGTCCCGACCTGGGTTTATGATCTGGCGTTCCTGGAGTTGGTCAGGTCTATGTTCAGCAACAGGATGAGGTCCCTCTGCAGTCTCTGGTGACGAGAGCTTCAGCTTTAACGGAGAGAAGCTCCTGGAGCTCTGCATCACTCCGATTTATCATCTCAGCCTGGTCTGTAAACAAAAGTGAAACTTATGGCCTCTTTTACTTTCATCTTTAATACAGTTTCCTGCCGGAGCTCGCCAGTGACTCCCCATGTGACCGTGATGCCTCCTTCATGTTGCACCAAGGTGTACTATTCAAGTCCGATGTTGTAGCAATATCACTACCAAGGATGTCGGCACAAATGTGTGCCAGCAGCGCGTTCATGAAACACACTGTGGCGGCAGTAATACGCTGATTTGCTGGCATGGTGCCTTCTATAAAGGGCTATTGAGTATGTTACTTTGGGATGGTGCCTTCCTTACTCTATGGTCACAATGTTGCTGTTCAGATGTGGGGAAAGAGAGGTCTACACCTGGGCTAAATGATAGTGATGACAAGTGATAGAACATCTTTCTTGTAGTGACGCTGCAGGTTTGTAACCCGGCTGTGACCTTTCAGCGTTTAGTTAGCATGTTGGCATGCAATGTGTGTTAGAAGCTAATTATGCTAAATGTAATACATGGAGCTGTGCATGCTAGCTTAACAGAAACATGTTAGCGTCAACTAGGACTAGCAATGTGACAAATGTTCACACAAACTTACTAAATTATAGAAAGTGTGTTGTGTGGTCTACACCAACAGTTTAGGTAGTCATTAGTTGTCTCTACCTGCTGAACAGACCTTGTTTGAATGAGGTTCAACTAACACAGCTAGCATGGCTAACACACCTATTTCCGCTAGAACTGGTATTTCTATATGATAAAGGCTGTTTACTTACTTTAATGTGGAGCCGCGGTGGTCTCTTATGGTCAGAAGATAACTTCATTTATTTATTTTCATGTTAAAATTCAGGCTAGGGTTAGGGTTAGCGTGTGACCGTGAAGATTTCAGATCCGGCAGACGGCGCTGCGCAATAAGTAGGCGGGGCTTACGGACAATTTCTTCTTTTGCTGCTTGTGGAGGTGAATGAACAGTCACCCGGAACTAATTCACTCGTTTTAGTTACTTTTTTTTCTCAGTGACATATATGATTTCAGATGTAACCAAGTACAATACTTAAAATAAATGATTGTTAACAGATCTTGAACACCAATTAAAAATTTGTGCTAAAATACTTCTGGTTAAAATGCAATGTGTTAATTTGCAACTAAAATTCTAAAGTAAACTGGAGAAGTCTGAAAGATGTGCTGCTGGATCCATTTGGGTTCAGTGCATGGAAGCATTTGTGCATGAGGGTCTGGGTTATCTAATCAGGTGGTAACAGACGTTTTGTTGCAAGATGAAAGAGACAAATCCGTCCATTTTGTTATCAACACTCAGTTCGTGTCTGCAGAACGTGTTAATAAAAGAGTTTTTAAAAACTGCCTGCATGGTTGCAGACAGACATAAAGGGAAGAAAAATACTTTTGTAAAGATTTACACTGCCCCCTAGTGGCGGTTTAAGGATTAGAGCAGTGTCAACTCTTAAATGGTTAACATCAACAGATAAAATTATATTATTTTTTCCATTTTCCACCTATTTTCATCATTCAACCAAATACACTGAGTACTGGATAAGTTAATCTTTTGTTGGTATACATCTGTGCTCATTTCTGGTTCATTTTATGTTGGTTGTTGTTTTTGCTTATAAATATAATCATTAATTTATATTATTTTAATCTGGAATTGTGTGTCATATATGAAGTAGATCCGAGGTACATCAAAGGATATAATTTTCTTAAATTCTTTTTAAAATAATATAAAAATCACACTGAATAGGTCCACAAAGTACAATGTGGTCCCTGGAACAGCTCAAGTGTAATAATATGTTTAAATATATCCCAGGAAATTAACATATTATGTCTTTTGCGAACGGTATTTGTTATTTTGGTGGTGTTGTGTTTATGACTTAATCAGGTTTGTGTTTTTATTTAATTTTCACCCTTTGGAGTACCACAACTAAACAATTTCCCCGTGGTGGTGTATATCTGAGTCTGCATAAAACCACACAGTCATCTTGATGTCAACTTAATTATGACCTAATTCATTTAAAACAGACCCATGTTGTGTAACTTTATGTTGTGCTGATTTAATGTTTAAATCTACAAGTTAAACACCGTTTGCTCTTTTAACACTAGATGGCGCCAAAAACCTAACTCTGAGAAGTAATTTTTTATAACGTGAAGTTGAATAGATTGTGACAAGGTGCAGACTGGAAAGATAAATGCCATGACTCGGGGTTCATGCGCATATTTGAAGATGCATGGATGCTAATGCTAGTGCTAACTCTTCAAGCATAGCAAAACAAACACTTATTTGTGGAGAGTGTTTCTTTGAGGTCCGTAAGCTGCACAGTAACAACCTTGGCAGGTACACAAGAAAGCTAATTCTGATTAGCCACCGCTGGGTGGAGGGGAAGTCAAGAAAAGTGAAGTGAGGTGACATTTTTGTCTCCCAGGAAAAGTGCCACTGTGCTTTTTTATGGTGAACTTTTTCTGTCAACTTGCTCAAAGTTATAAATAAACTTTACATTGTGAGGCAAACTCCAGGCTGAGCTGTAACCCAAAAGTTGCTGCGTGTAAAGAAAAGATAGCTTGAAATGTAAATGCTGTCCTCAGAGTCAGTCTTAGTTTTTATATGTGTGACGCTGATTTTATTCATTTAATAGTCTTGTTTGGGGTCTTTCCTTTGGATCTTCCACAATGGCTCTTAACAACATTAGCTAGAATTGATCAAGAAGCTAATTTGTGTTTTTAATTAATGGTATAATAATGTTGTTTTTAAATAAAGGCAGCTTGAGATGTCTCGTGTAGCATCCCAAAAGTCTGTGTCGCCTCTGAACTGCTTTGTCAATTACAGGGCTGCCGACTCTCACGCAGTGAGCGTGAGACACACGCATTTGACACCCTTCACGCTCTCATGCCACACCCCCAATATTTCACGCTAAAGGTTGGTTTAGAAAGGTTGGTTTAGGTTGGTAAAGAATACTCCCCCACCACCACCACCACCACCACCACCATCACGGTAAGCTTATGGAGGTGAAACGGTTCTCGTTTTTTCCAAGATAAGTTAAACAGAAATGTCGCAAGGACCTCGGAACTCTGAGCTCGTACCCCAAGATCCCCAATTTAGAGATGGCTGTGCACAGTGCTACCAGGAAGTAGTCATCGTCTTTGTTTTTTCTCATTTACATGTTCTGTTTACTTTTTTCTTTTTTTTTTTTTCTTTTTTTTTTTTTTGCTATTTAACAGCACCTGTGATATGTTTATTGTTGTTATCAATAGTTATGTTGTTGAAAATTTTAACATTGCTACCAAAATTGACCGGTGTTTGTGGTTTGTACTTTTCCTGGCATTTATATTTTTACATTTGATTTGAAATATTTTTCTGGTTGTATGTGGCAACTGTTGAAGGGTGTGTGTGTCAATATTATTTAGGTGCGGAGAACACTTGGTTATATAATACTTTTGGTTTACTACTCAACAACACTGGTGGCGTCCATTTTTTCCGAGTTGGAAGCTGGAACGTAAAATGAGCCCATTGTGTCATTTCCTGCTCAGAAATTCTCAATTCCGGGGACAACTGGAATGCAGCATGAGCCAATGCTAACACTAGCCTGAGCTACTGCTAAAACTAGCCTGAGCTAATGCTAATCCTAGAATGAGCTACACTAACACTAGCCTGAGCTGCATGAGAGGGAAACAAAAGACAAATTTTGGAACAAACATATGTCGTTCTAGGATGTACTGGTAATGTCCAGAATATGAATAAATGAATGCCAGATAGACAGCTTGTTTGTTAAGTGTTCCAAATACTGTACACGGCTGTACACAGATTTTATAGCTTCAGGTAGCATCATAGAGCTACATCCGGTGAATTAACATGCAGCTTATTTATATTCATGTCCTGACTGAGTGTGTTAGGGAACCATTGTAAGGCTGAGAAATTGAGTTTTATTTTGCCATTTATCAGGGCTCCGGGGCCATTTTGAGTCCCGACAAAGTTGGTACATGGAAGATCAAAGAACAGTTTACAATTAAGAAAAATATCTATATATATATATATTATGTTCCGTGCTTATGCCTCTAAATTAAGAACCTTTAGCCCAACAAAATGCCTTTTTTTTACAAAATTATAATAAATGTCTCATATTTACAGAAGATAAGGGAAAAAATCCTGACTTTAATTTCAGAAAACAACTATTTAATTTAATCTCAGACTTCTCAGAACTTTTTTCAGTGACCCTAATTGTATTCCATAGAATGTTATCAAAAATCATAAATTACATATTTTCTAAAGGTCTCTTCTGATTATAAGAATTGCAGAACCATGTCTAGCTGCCTTTATTGAAACCACCTCTCTCTTTATTTTGTTTATTTATCCTATTTGCACTGTCTGGAGCTCAGAGCTCATCTCTTGCCGTTGATCACTTGTCAGTCAGAAGATAATCTTGTTTGCTTTGAGTTTTTACGCCCACGGCCTCTTTTTTGTCGCAGCCTCGGCACATAAAAGGTTTGTTGGACTTTCAGGTGATCTTTAAACCGAACAAGGCTGGGATCATGGCAACAACACCTCCAGCAGTCATTCTTTCAATTGCTGTAATCCAGACCCATAAGGCATTGTGTTATTTTATATTACAAAGCGTGTGCTTTCCAGAATAAGCGGCTTCAGATTTAACAGTGAAACAACCTATTAGTCAGTAAGCACACTTTGCTATTGTGACTAACTCGGCCGATGAGTCCTCTGCTTGTGGGCAGTACAATACCCTCTGATTGCCTTTGTGTGATCACCCACAGCTATAGAGTGTTTTCAACACGATAAGTTGGTCATCTACTTCTTTCTCGGCTTGCTTTTCATAATGATTTTTTAAAGCGTGTTATCATGATTTTGTTTGAAATAATAGAATCGTACAAAGCACCAGAAAGAGTCATCTAAAAGCAGAGAGCCTCTGGAATTGCTTCAGTCCTGCAGGTTTGATGATATTTTCCTCCTACGACCAACAAAAAGCTTGGTAGCAAAACTGTGTGGGGCGTTTAGCGGAACGCCTCCTTCATCTGCAACAAACGTGTTCTTGTGGATCCAGTTTTGACAGGTTGGAGGAAGAAATGTTAGGCAGAAGGCTCCAGTTTTACTGAAATGATGCCACTCTGGGTTCGACTCAGTTGAACTATGACAAGACCTAGAGAAGGCAAGGGAGCAGGGGTCACCAACCTCGTGAAGTACATTTAAAAAAATGTGTGGCCATTTTTTAAATCAAAAATGCATTAATATAGATTTTAAAATGACAATTTTCTTCAAGAAACATTAAAATATGGTTATAATACATGACGTTTAGTTTACGTCTGATATATTCTAGTTCAAAGGTCACTATTGTATCTCCCTTCGTGTGGCTCAATACCCATGAAATAGCTCAGATTCACAACGGTTGGTGACTCCTGCATTTGAGGTAAGAAAATGGAAAGCCAAAGTGGTCAAAATTCAAGTGCTATGACATACTGATGTTTATGATCAACACAACTGTTGGTGAATCGCAACCACTTTGGCTTCCCACATGCCCATGTGTTATTGCTGAGTAACATTTGAGAAGTTGCTTGCATCAGAGCAAATCTTTTTGATTTTACAACGGAGGTGATTGGTTACCAACTGATATTCAGCAAAGAATCTTAGGGACCAGGGGTCTCATTTACAAAGCTTGCTCACGCACAAAACGGGGTCGGAAAGCTGCGTTAACGGTGGAGCGCTGCAATGAGCCGGCTTGTGTACACTCAACAAAAATATAAACGCAACACCTTTGTTTCTGCTCCGATTTTTCATGAGATCGACTTAAAGATCTAAAATTCATTCCAGGTACACAATATTAACATTTCTCTCAAACATTGTTCACGAATCAGTCTAAATGTGTGATAGTGAGCACCTGCGCTTTGCTGAGATAATCCATCTCACCTCACAGGTGTGCCACATCCAGATGCTGATCTGACATCATGAGTAGTGCACAGGTGTACCTTATACTGCCCACAATAAAAGGCACTTTGCATTGACCATTTAGGGCACAAAGTGGGCGTGTTGAGGGCGGGATGTGATCCAGAAACACCTGAGCACATTTCTATGTAGAGTGTAATTTATAAAGCAGAGACTGCGTGAAGCTGTACATACTCTGTGTTTTATATATGTATATATATATTTATATTTATATATATTTATTTAGTTGCGGAGGCAAAGGCTGCTCTCAGACACCAGGACATAGTGGGACATGTACAGCACGGCAGAAGGGGGCTTGGAATGGAAGCAGCAACACCCAAATGGCAAAATGCAACTCCAACCGAACTACG